GCACAGGCACTGTGGAAGCTTGCTGAGATAGCTATACACCACTGGCACCATTCTTGGGTCCACTACTCCTCTGGAAGGAACCTCAGGACTGTGATCCCTTGTGAAAAGTCTTCTTTTTCCAAAAGCTTCTAGAACTACCAGAGCTAAAACTAGACCTCTTGCTAACTCCACCACTAGGGCCAAGCGACTATGAGAATCTGCCCTAACTATCTCTTCTCTTCTCAGTCTCTACCTTTCTACCCCTTCTTGCAACTATTCTTAGTTTGTTGCACATCTCATCATAAGATATGATCTCAAACAAGGTCAATTAATGTCGGTACTCAGGCCTCATCTTCTCAAGTAGTCTCTCAACCATCCATTTCGAGTCATTATTTCCTATGAGATAGGTAGAGTACTTTGACAATTAATTGAATTTAGCAATGAATGCTTCTTTATCAAGATTCCCTTACTTGAATTCGTGGAACTTAACCTCTTTCTGTACAAGGCTACTGAGAAGTAGAAGTTGAAAAACCTCACTTTAAACTCATCCCATGTCTACTCAACTCTACTAGTCGGTTTCACTGACTTCTACAAGTGTTTAGCCTCTTTTACAAACAACATCAAGGCCAAAGTCACCTTCTACCGTTCTAAGCAAGGCACAACCTTAAAGATTGTTTCAATTCTCTCGATACATTTTGACTTTGCCTTCTTTCATAGTCCCATCAAAAGTAAGTGGATGGAGCTGTAAAAAAACTCTTCCATGCTCAACCTATGGAGTTTTGTGAACCGTACCACCCATAGCTCTAGATTGTTTAGGTGCGCTGTCCTCATACGCTCTTTCATCTTCCTCATACATCTCTTCTTCATTTTTTATTGTTCTACTATCACCCTTTGCTCTATTATTCCTAGGTACCTCTTGACCCCGTACTGAATTGCATATTTCTTGCATCAAATTCCTCATCTCCAATAGCAAGGCCTTATTACCCTGCGGCTCATTCCTTGATTGTTCTAAGTTCTAATCAACTAGAATGTGATTCTCTAGCGGTAGCTTATTGATCTCTGGTACCACATCTATATTAGATGGGTTACCACTCGCGGTAATTCTAGCAGTTCTTCTTCTTACCATCCTCTCTCTCCTCCTAAGGATAGAAGTAACCACACAAAAAGTGTGTTAAATTAGATAACTTTGTAAAGGAAAGATAAGTGTAATAAATATATATGCCAACTTCTACACATGAATGTGACAAGAAAAATAATCTAACACAACAATCACACATACCAGTCTTAGAATGCTTGAAACTGATACCAAATTGTAATGTCTACTTTAACATTACCAAGATAATAAACATACAAGCCGTTGTGATAACTAGGACTAGATAAAATCTGAAGAAGAAGTTATCACAACCTAAAGGTTTAAAAGATAATTAGTATAAAATAATGGGACATCAAAAAAATCCTTTTTAAGTATTGTTTGAGCTCAAACCATGATTAAAAATTAATTGATTACAAATACGGAAGCATGAAAATCCAATGGCCTTCAAAATAGGCTGAAATAAACCTTTTCTCAAAAATCTGGTCCATTCATCACGGTGCAAGCTACGCCCGCTGCGACAGATGGCATAAAGGAACGAATCCCTTAGGAAGGTACTTGCATCGTGGTGCAACTACCATGCGCCACGGTACATACCTATTGTCATGACAGCACTCCAAACTTTTATAGTGCATCATTTTGCCATCCGCGTCCAATTTGGGCGGTTCAAGTATACACATAAAGCTCTTTTGAGCTCTCTAGCTAATGGCACCAATCTCACACTCAAATGATCATTCATTAAAAATATGACACCTGAATTTAAAATAATTCATTTTCACCTTAAAACATATACAAAGGTGTCCAACTCACAATACCAAATGCCATTAGCCCCAGATATACTTTGACCACCTCAAATGGACCACACACACCATGACAGATCATTTATATCACACAAATAAGCAATCACACTCAAAATGACCACCAAACCCCCATTTGACAATAATACAAAAGGGGGATAAAATTTAACAGACATGTCAATTGGTCATTTTGGTACATAAATCACTTCAAATATATCAGTTGTAATTATAACTTGGCCAAGCACACACACTTAATCCACAACATCAACCTTGGACTAAGATACACACACATTTATCACAATTTCATTCAAATGATAACCAAAATAATATTATGTTCCTAAGTTGACTTAATAACATAGCATATTCATTACAAACCCACAAAAAGAAAAGGGAAGAGCCATACAAAAATACTCTTCACTCTTTAATTACTCCTTCCTTCCCCTTACCCCTGCCGAAGCCCTCACTTGTGAAATATAACTATAGGGTAAGATAAACATCTTAATAATAGAATAATTCATTACCATTAATTAACATGCACAACCATTAGGGAGTAAAGCTATTAAACACCAAATTTACTTTTACATATTATAACATAATCTTTTGATGAATACAAATCATTTACCACTGGCATGATTATTCTACCATTTGAGTCTCCATATCTCAATTGAAACTATTAGCTCTTGAACCAACTACACATTCACCATGGTTCGAGCTCACCTTCGATGGTAAGATCACCTGGCCAAAGGTATCCTATCCCACTTTTGGACTATGGTCTCCCTCTATCGCACACAATTGGGTGTCGTTACTCTAACACCGCATCACTGATACTAAGGAGCGTCACTCTCAAATTCCATATCTTACATGGATACTAAAGAGAAAATCTCCAACACCGTGCCTCACTAAATACTAAGGAGATACATACCATATAAACTTTCACTACTCCTTCTTACAGGTGAACTCTCACCTTTTAACATGATCATGCTCACACTCATCATATATAACACATGTACGTTTCGAATTTCTTAACCAATCCATATAAATTTTTAATATTGTCATCATTTACAAATAGTTTTTCATGCACAAGATCACATTTCACAATAAGCAAGATTATCAAATCTCAAGTTCAAATTAATATATCTACTTATAGATAGTTAAGCAATATAATCAAATAGTGTAAATTATTCCATTACCTCAACCCTTTATCACACAAAAGGGTTACTGTGGCTCAACATTAGCTGCACAAATTTTATATGTACTAGTTAGTTCGAGCAACACTTAATCTACACAATCAAGTGATAATCATTAATTATCACTCTAGATAACATTGAATTCACTAGGTTCTTAGTGCCTATAACACCTAAATTCCTTACTTAACTACACCGATCATTTCAAAATACTATAACCATCTTATTAAACATCCCAACACACCAAATTCATCATCTAATTCCCCACATTGTCTCAAAATCATTAAATTATACCTAGGGTTCATCCAAACCCTCAACAAAAATTTTCAATCACTATAAAACCCATAAACTTAGGGTTAAAGGATTGATTTGACCCCTCAAGACCTTAAATAATCTAATAGATTTGTTCTAAACCTAAGGAAATCAAAATCAAAGCCCCTATTGCCATAAAAGTCAGAAATCTTCGCATAAAAATAAAGGAGAGGGAATGTGGAACTTGCCAAAGAATGATTCAACCTCGTAATGCTCCCAATGTGGCTTAGGGATCGTGCCCTAGCAGTGCACGAGCTCCTCTTCGTCGTTCTCTCATTTTCCTTCTTTCTTCCTTCTATTTTCGATTTGTTTTTTGCATCTGATTTTACACGTGTGCAATGGTGCATTGACACGCTCACTGTAGCACATGGCACAAAAAGTCCCACCAAAATTTAAACTCCATTCTGTACCATGGCCCACTTAAACACTAACCTAGCCTCCTCCTAAGGAAATACTGATAATTCCTAATTTTAAAATTTAGGATGTTACAACTTCCACATGAAAGCACTCCTAAAGGCATTTCATTTTTTTTAAAAAAAATAATTTGAAATTTAATATTATAATTCAATTTTTTATTAAACAATTATTATATTGGTGTTAAATAATAAAAAATTAAATAATATTTAAAAAGTACTTTAAGTTATTAATTAATTAAACATTAATTTATAATAAATTTATAAATTTAAAATTAATTAATTGGCTAAAAAATTAAAATACTAAATAAAATTATAATATAATATTTTATAAATTATTCTTATTAATATCTAAAATAATTATAATACTTCAATTAATAACATAAAATATAAAGTAATTAACACCAAATTAAATTATTAAGAAATTATACTAAAAAAATTTCAAAGGGTCTTCCGGAGCACTTCATGTTCTCTGGAAGATCATATTTTTTTAGAGCGCTTTTGGGAAGAAGTGCTTTGAAAAAATATATAATTTTAAAATAATTTTATTTTTAAGTCTTTTAATTTTTTTTGTTTTGTTGAAAGTACTTGGAAGAACTAACCTTTTAAAGCGCTTTTTTTTTTAATAAGTGCTTCAGTATGCTCTGCCTCATTTTTTAGGAGCATTTTTAAAGTAAGTGCGTGTATATGGTTACTTCAATAAGTCTATTTTGCAATAGTGTCATTTTCCCAAAGGTATTTTTGCTTTGCGGAGTTGGTTAATGAGATTCGAAAGAACCTGGTGCTTCTTATATGGATCAAAAGATTGTGCAAAAACATTTATATATATATATATATATATAGCGACAATGAATTTTGAAGCAGTAAAAGGCTGGGGAAGGAAGGTAGAAGAACAAGAGTGTGTTTCTTTTTCTATCAAACAGGGATGTTTTAGTCAATTCAGGAAAAAAAAAACGCATTCACCCCCAATCCTTCATTCCTTTGGGACTTGATAGATATTTAGTGATTTTACAGTACCTTTGGAAATTTTGTATGCTTTTGTGGGACTTCATAGTAATGTTCTTTTGACAAATTGAGCAAATGAAAAGTTGCTCTAGTGCACTAATAATTATTTTAAATTTGCAGTGGAATGCTCTTTTGACAATAATTAGGCATAGAAACGATCAAAAGAAGCTTTTAGCCTTTGACACTATTATTAGTTCCAAGGCGCATCATCTCCATTAAATGATCATGGACCAATACTTCTTCTTCTTCATTCCGTCGCTGAACATTTCTCTAGCGAGAGCTTTTGCAGTTTCTGTGCTCTAATTTTCTGGTATTTTTCATTCTTCCTTTAATCTAAGATTGTTTCTTTCTTATAATTATTTTCTTCTTCTTTTATTTCACCTCAACTCATTTTTTTAAAATCAAATTTTTTAAACAGAAACAGGAGATTTCCCTCTCATGGAAAGCATCCCAAAACCAGCTGCTCTACACAGGTAATACCTTTGGCGTTGGTTTTTCATCGTGTTTACATATATGTGTGTGTCTTCTGCTTTATAATTTCTTACGCTTCTGCTTTGTTTTTCTTGAATTCCTCCAGTATTTGAGAGTTGAGGGGAAATATTTAATTAAATCATGAATAGACTAAAATATTTGGTGTTTCTGATTGTATTACGATAAGCAATTTGTTTATCAAGTCGATTTTTGGATAACTATAAATGGTTTAAATAGATATTAATGGAAATAGTAATTTTTTTAATAGATAATTATAAATTATATTCCTATTCCCTCTTTTAAAAATATAAAGTATTTTTAATCTAATTATACACCTCAATAAATTAGTTAATTCTCTTTAAATGAGCACCATTTTTTTATATTTTCCCTTATTTAATAGAATGCCTTACTTTAAGGTAAATTGTTAGAATTTTTATTGGGAGAAATACTTATATTTAGTGTCCAATCAAGTACACCAATGGTCAATTAAAAAAAAAAAAGATGATCGGTTGAACGTTTTTTTATTAAAGATATATATTTTTTAAAAATATTAATTACACATTAAATATTTTTTATTTTTTAATATCTAATTGTAAAAAATACTTTTTATTTTTAATCCGAGAGAGTGTCCATTTTCTTATAATTCTTGTCTATCTCCTATAATATCTAAACCTTATGATAAAATTAAAAGTTTAAATGTAAGTAATGATCGATAATATCTCATGTTAGGTAAAGGTTTCATATCTAATTTGGACTATTTAAATTTTAAATATTTCTTATTTTAGGAGTAAACTAAAATAAAAAAATAACATGTTCACAATCAATTCATAAATAAAAATTTAGATAAAAAATATAAAAATAATAAGATTTAAATGGCCTGAATCAAATATCAACAAAGATCAGTTAACAAAATAGTCACTGTACGTTTTAGCTTTGATAATACCCAGATCGAAGAATTGTAATTAGATACTGGATAACGGCCCACAAAAATTCAAAGAATGAAATAATCTATTATCTATTACTTTTATCAACACGGGATGGCCATATCTACAGTAAATGAACTGTGCTATCTTTTTGCTATCTTTTTTTTTTTTTTATATTAGAGCTCCATCTATTGTCTTCATTAATTGCACGTTCCAGGTCACGTGTTCCAATTCTCCATCTATTGTAGTATTATAATTATAATAATATTATACTATTATAATTATAACATAATATTATGATATTGGAGATAGAGATTCAAATATTGTAGTGTTAATATTATTATAATATTTGATGGTTTCTGTTGTTTGTTTTTTCTCATCTCAGCTAATATTTTATATTTTATTTTGAATTTAACTACTATAACACGAAAAAGGACGAATAAAGGGGAGGCTGGTCTTGCATTCATGGGATAGATTAAATGGGAAGGTGAATGGGTCAATTGGCGGGATTTCAATAATTTTTGAATTCTTGGTAATTTTCATGGTGCCATTTCGCACCACCAGGTGAAATTTTAAATATATTATTTGCCTAGTGTGATATTCGTATGTGCAGAGCAATCAACCATTAATCATCAAATTCCTATATAAATTTGGGATCTTCCTTTGAACACTAAATGAACAATGGCACCAACGTGAGTTTCTTTTTTTAATCATCAAATACACAGATACATTTATCAAAAACATTCCATAGCCTCAGTCTTTTAAGTATTTCCCTTATTTAACTTCTCAGCACCTCTCCAATTTCCATTAACAAGTTCTCATGATCATTTACTTCCCTCAGTCGCTCTGAATTTTGTCCACCACTCTGCCACTTCTTCTCCTCTAATATCCTCCATTTCTCATGCATTCACGCTAGGTACGCCCTACCCGTCCCTCCATAAGTGTGGATGCAGAAGAGGATCCTTCAATTGCCCCTTTTTTGGTGGGAGTCATCTGTTTGTGACTATCGACGAGTACTTCCATTCACTCAACTTGATGGCAGAAGCTTCGTAAACTAAGGGTGACATTGGAATCCACCTTTTAATCCAAGACCTTCACTACCTTACCATCCAAACCCATAATGGTGGAGAAGCATCCATAATTACTTACACTTCACTGTGCGATAGATCTATGTTTGACTTTACACAGCCCTGTTGAATCAAGTGGCTGAACACGTTAAGTTTGTCACTGTGCTTGGGATCTCTACTTTCGTCTATGGGTTCTAAATGACTTCCAATGATTAGTGTCAAGCGAACACAGTTTTATGGTGCTGACAATGAGGTAATGTATGATTTGTGGGTTCTCTGTGTATTGTCCTTTCATTAAATCATTGTTGCCACTCATATTTTGATGAGGAATGCGTAGGTGATGCAATTGGATAGATGGTTGCCTCCATGATCCTTATCCAGACTGCACTGTGTTAAAATCAAAGAGATATTTTGGTACTTTAGATTTTGTTTCCTTTTGAATGTATTTTCCCTTTTCATTAAAAAAAATTAAAAGTACTTCTAAAAGGATATATCATGAAATCAAATGTTATTGCTATTCTCATTTTCATCAAAGCCTATAGCATTAGGTCAAAATAGACATAGTTAGCTATACTCTTTTTATTTTTCAATTGCTACTTCATGATGCTTCAAAGTAGCTATTTTCTGATATACATGCTAACTCTAATAACCATAATTCATCTCCTGCAACAGATTAACTATAGTTGACTAAACATTGATGGTGTATATATAATGACTATGATGACAATCTAATCTCTACAATATCCTGACTGTTTTATGATTTTCATTATGGTTTTGCTTTCTTCACTTTATGAAATCTTGAGTGTAATTCCAGTAGTCCAACTTTTGCTCCGTTAGTAGATGAGAATGGTTGGGTTCAGGTTTTTTGGAATGTGTGGTCGTTTGTCAACTGAAACGCTTCACCAAGTAGAGGACAAAATAATGTTCTATGTGATATTAAATCTTAAGGAAATTAAATAAAGACTTCTGCTTGGCATGTTATATGGATGAGTCCATGTTCAATATTCTACAAGTTATGAATAGCTTTTCCATATCCTGATTTTCTCCATTATGGGGCCTGTTTAGCCATGATGTAACTCTTTTATCTCTAGCTTTCTTGTCAGGTTCTCAAATTTAGCTCCTAGCACAGCTTTGGCCAACAGGTGTAGTACTTTAAATTATTAGATGAGTGAAGAAGTTTAACAGTATTGTTTTCAAGCTTTTTCTTGATTAAATTTTTGTCAAGCTCCGCACATGTTTTGTTCTATCAAGGTATACAGAGTTATTTAGTATATTGACAATTGGGGCCATATTATTACATTGATAGTTTTGTAGGTGCTTCAATAGCAATGCTTAATTTACTAGGAAGACATTTTCCTAGTGTATCTTCAAGCACCTTAAGATTCTGATAATAGAAAAAATGCCCTTCTCTATAGGTCTCTATTTATAAACTGGCTAACAGGTCAGAAATTGACATTCACCTCATATGAGACAAGCCGATTAGTTTCCTTACATGTCTTTTGTATCTCTCGATGTCTATTGTCTTTGAAGCACATCTTATGCATAGGTTCAATTGGAGTCTCTGCTCGCTTTCAAGCCAGCATGTAGTCTCTTCCGGAAGATTCAAGGTATATTTTCTATGTGATCAATTTTTTTTTTGAATTGGCAAGTTCCTTATATATGAAATTCTTTAAGTCAGCGAGAAACTTAATCCCAAACTAATTTTCAAGGGTTCATTTAAGCCGCATGATTTCTTCTAAAATCATGAGTCATTATGATATCATTGACATGGACAATTAATCAAAATAGCAATTTTACTTTTAGGGTATAACTCAGTAAATAGAGTGTGGTTAGTTTTTCCTTGAATATAACCATAGCCTTTATTCTTTAATAGTCTTTATGAACTTTTTAAGCCTTGGTTATAACAAAACTTTGTCGCCATCCAGCTCTTATAGGTTGGATTATTCCCTAATGGACAATCTGCCTGCTAATTAGATGTTGAAAGTCACTGATAAAGGCTTATGATATTAAATATTTAATATTTAATATCTAGATATTTATCCATTAAGTATTTTATCTATTAGATTTTTTGTCTAATTTTTTATCATCTTATCTTCTAGAGTTATTAAATAGATTTAAACTAGATTTATTAGAGCTAGAGAAGCAAGCTTGGTGCCTCAAAATCTCTATACATATGATGCTAAACAAAATAACATGGCTGAGAAAATTGCTTGAAAACTCAGTCATTTCAACAAAAGGCTACTCCATTAGTTGCCAAATTTAGTTCTCTATTTTTTTCATTATCCCATTGCATGGAAGTGCTTGGAAATATAAATATCAACATTGTTTGTTGATTTTATTCTTTTCCAGTTTTTGTTCTATTTGTTCTTTGGCTATTATGGAGAAACTTATACTACCAAGACAAAAGAAACTTTGTTGACAATCTCTTTGCTTCAGGAAAATCTAATCCATGATGATAATAAACTTATTTTGTTGGCATTGTCGGCGATTCATTAGAGTATGTTGAAGACTCTATTGCAAGGTGAGTTTTCCATCCTCTACAATCCTTAGAATAATGTTTTATCTTGTTCAACAAAGTTTATGTGGGTTAGTAGGAAAAATTATTACTATATGCATATCTTATGCTATAACCATGAGAAACTGAGGAGTTTAATTTCAAGTTTGATCTTGAACAAAATATAAATATCATACAGGGGCCTTATGGATATTGATAAGTTTTTTGAGATCCAATCATTATTTTGAAAACAGAATGCTGTTTTTTGTCACTAGCCCATTGGATTGTGTTTGTTGGATAAATTATTTCCTATAAGGGGAACTTTGTTCTACAACTTGTGGTTATTGGCAGCTAATTGACTTTCCTTTCTATTATAGCATGTGGTTCATGGCTTTATTCTTTTTACTTTGTATTGATACCCTTTCGTATGAATATGATAGTGATTTTCTATCGTTGTGGGGCTTTAGCAATTTTACAAAATATGATAAGTTCATCATGTACACCTTGCTTGTGTAAATTCCTAATTCTGAATTGTAAAGTGATTCCAAGATAATTTCCTTTTCCTTGGTTTTCTTTACTTCTAGGCTGTGAAGAACAAATGATCCACTTGGATTGGCCCACAAGTGTGAGAATTTGTCAAGGAATAGCAAGGGGATTGGCTTATCTTCATGAGGAATCAAGACAAAAAATAGTATATAGGGATATTCAGGTAACTAACATCTTGCTAGATAAGGATGTGAATGCCAAGATCTTTGACTTCAGTTTAGCAAAGCTCGATTATGATGATAATACCCACATTGGCACCCGAATAGCTTGAACAATGTATTATGCCATATTAAATTCTATATTTGATTGCTCATTAACAGAATTTATCTTCACCATGCACTTCCTCTGTGTTGTATGATCTGCTATTGCATAAAGCCATTCTCATTCAAATGATCCTAGAAACATCAATATTTCATTTGTTTAGTAAAATCACTAATTTATGGGTGTTGCATATTCTCTTTTCAATAGTGACATGGCTTCTAAATATGTAATGAGGAGTTACATGATAAACAAAGTATATATTTATAGTTTTGGAATTGTTGCTTTAGAAATTGTTTGGAGAGAGAACAACACAAATTATAGACAAGGTGTTTTAATTTATAATAAATATAAAATAATTTATTGATTATGTGTATGTTTTAAAAAATACATTAATTATGTGTTGAGACATTTCTAACCCTTAAAAAATGTATCACACTTTTGAACGGCTATTACTAAGAAAAATTAATGAATGCCTTGAATTTATAGTATTTTTTTAAAGGTTTTTCTAAATAAAAGTGCTTTATTTACTAAGCCTGAAATATTTTTGTGGCCATGGTAAGATGGGAGGAAGTGACTCTCTCTGTTTAAAAATATAAAGCACTTTTGAAGAGTTAGATATTCAAAAATATAAGGCATCTTTAGTTTTTTGATGTGTAATCATTGATTTTTTTTTAAAAGTGCCTTTACAAATAATAACTTTATATTTATTATAAGGTATTTAACAGGAATAAATGTGAAAAGATAGAGTTAGTTAAAAAATGGATAACTACTTTAATGAGAGGTGAGATTCGATTAAAAATACCTTACATTTTTTAATGGAGAGAGTATATTTTTTTAACAGTAAATTACAAATATCATATAGCTTTCTTATTTGTTTTGATACTTTTCTCGCACTTCACTAAATTGAAAAATGGAAATATGATCTATACTTTATTCATTAGATTCCACAAAATAAAAATGAAAATTGAAAAAAAAATCGAAATTAGTAATATTTCTCTATTTCTGAGTCTCATATTTGTTAGGCACTGAAGTTTATCTTTTATTGCAGTTTTGTGTGTGGTAATTTCTTCATGTTAACGGCAGTGGCAGATTGGCTTCACTTGTGTTTCCATTCTCCAATTTCTTTGCTTCTAAACAGTTAAGTTTCGTGTCATTTTGAGATAAATTGGTCTCCTTTTCTTTATATCATCATTTATTCAATTTCAAATATCAAATTTAGTTTATGCTCTCTATGCTTATTTATGACAAATTACATGATGCTTTCATAAAATCGATTAATTATTGGATAGAGACATAAATAATTCTTATAAAACGTGACGATATTTTTTCCTGAAAGGTACTTCTAAATAAGCATTCTTATTATTATTATTACTTTTTTCGACTTCCATTCTGAGCCTCTAGTGGCATTTGTTGATTAAATTTTACAAAATAAAAAATAGAGATATTAGTCATTTCGTTATCTCATATCTGTGCATCAAACTAATTTTTCTCCATTTTTCTTGCAGCTATTGTACCAATATTTTAACAAATTTATGGCAGTTAGGCTTAATTCCTCTGTTCATTCCTGTTCTGTCTCTGTTTCCAAATAGTTGAATTCTTCAGGTCAGAGAAAACAAAGAAAGAAAAAGAGCTTTATTGCACTCCGTTTTTGAGGTAAAGTGATCATTTATATCAGTTATTAAAATTTGAAATTTGACTATTCTTTATGGGTATTTATGTCTTTTGATATCTTAAATTTAAGTGGAAACGTTACATTTAAGATAAACTCTAATTAAAAAAAATGAAAGTTTATAAAAGGTGAAAGATCATATTTGCCCTTAAACTATTTTTGATCTTTATTGGATATCCTATACACTATAATGTGATGCAAGTTAATCCATCAACCAAAAAATGTAGCAACTTACACTTTCTGTCCATCCAATGGTGACATTTATTTGTGAACAAATATTTTGCTTGATGATTTGGTTGGTATCAAAAAATACCAAAAAAAAAAAAAAGATAACCTTAGCTAGAGAGAGAAGAGAAGATTGTTAAATGAACGTGGATTTCACAAATGGACATTACAACCAAATGGAAGGAAGGTGTAAGTCGCGACATTTTTTTTAGTTGTTGGATTAATTTACATCACATCATAGTATATATAAAATATCCAATATTCATAAAAAAATAGTTTAAGGCAAAGTTTATAAAATTGTTTTTATACTTTAAGAAAAATGCTGTCAAGTTGTATAAGCTAAAATTCTTTTTCATAATCTTATAATATAATTCTTGAAAATCAGAAATATTTTGTTGGAAATTAATAAACGTTACAAGTTTTTTATTTGAGTAGATTTATCACAAATGCTAGCAACATATCAAAAATATTAATAATTCGAGAACATCTACTCCCCCTTTTGTTTTGTTTTTTTGGGCCCTAGCTAATTTCTTCATTGAATATAATTTCACTAAACAAAATTAAACGTAGAAATTTCATTTTATTATCCATGTTGATTATTTCATCTTTTATGTATTGATAATTTGATATGATCCCTGAAGCTCCACCTTTGGGGTGCCATAATTTGTTTGCATTTTAATTCTTCATTTTAGCTTTTTATTTCTTTTTGGTTTGGTTTAATTTATATGCATATTTGTTTTATTAGAATAATGATCTTATTATTAGAGAGCCAGTGAATGGGAAGGCTTGACTCATACGATGGGTTAATAAACTCAAGTTCAAATGTTCGGTCATTTTTAAATTAATTTATTTTTCAAGCTCAGCCTTTATTAATTGAGCTAAGGGTAGCTCCTGAAAGCTCTTTTTATTTTAATTTTCTTTGAACTTTTAAATGTTTAATTTTTCATTATAATATTACATATTTATTTTTCAAAATGAAAATTATAATGATAAAAAATTAAAAATTAAGTCATGTAAATCCTAATTTAAATTACAAACACGTATTCTAAAGTCTAAATGTAATCTAAAAGTTTGAAATATCTCATTTTTAGTGGGAAAAATAAATGTGGGTTTAAATGGATAGCCCAAACCTGAAACCATTTTTTCAAGATTTAAATATCTTTGACTTGAAAATCTTTTTATATAAAAATACCTGAATTTTTAAACTAGAGGAATTGAATAAACGGGTTTGAACAGGATATATTTAAGCTATTATGAAAAAAAAATTAATCTTTTAATTTTCTAATTTTTAATGTACTTGTAACTCAATCTTTTAATTATGACTCGCTGTGACTCAATCTCTCAATTATGACTCGTCTATGACTCAATCCCTCAACTTTTGAATCACTTAAAAATTAGTCCCTTAACTTTTGTTAATTTTTTTTTCATCTTAGCTTATATCTCACATCCATGAGCAAGAGGAGGGTATTTTAAAATAATATATGAGCATTTTTTTATCCCCTTTATTTGATAAGAAATTATAAAAAATTAAAAAATAAGAACCAAGTTATAGGTAAATCAAAAGTTAAGGAATTGAGTCGCAGTAAGTTATAATTGAGGGACTGAGTTATAAGTGAGTTAAAAATTAAAGGATTAAAAGACTAATTTTTTCAAAAAAGAAATAAAAAGAGTAATCAAATTATTTATTTCTAAATGCATATTTATTAATATCAATATGATGTTATAGCAAATAAACAGTGACTAACAATAGACAATATGGGCTCTATATATGACCATATGTGAAGTGAATTTTCCTATCTTTTTAATTCTCCTGTAATGTAAATCCTGTTTCCTGCGATGGCTATCCATAATTTCTTTGTTCATTATATTTAACATCCCCAGAAAGTTAAAAATGGAGAAATTAAAAGCTTGTTTGATTTTGTTCCCATTTTTTTTAATTTTTTTCAAAATAAAAGAAAAAAATATTTAATTATGTTAATTTGAAAACAATTTTAAAGTTGAAAAATCAGTAGATGTTAATGGTCTCCAATGATTAATGACATTAATGAAAATGTAAATATTATGTTTTTATTTATTAATTAGTTTAAAATAAACTTTGGCCCCCATTCTTTGCTTCATTATTTCAGTCTGCCCCCAATCATTAAATAGGTGTTGATAGTAATTTAGTAATGAAAATGGTTTAAAGATTTTTTTCTATTTTAAAAAAAATAATGAGAAAAATTTTAAAAATATTTAAATCCAAAATACTTACGTATGATATTTTTATTTTATTTTTTTAAAAATAATTTTTATGAATAGAAATCAAACATGCCCTAATTATTTCATTACCCCATATTTAATATCTTCTGATTGAGCTTAGCTGGTTTTTTTTTTTGACGTCTTATTTTAATTTTCATCTCTTGTTTCAAATTTGTCTTGTCTTCATAAATTGTGTGTGTGTGTGTCTTTTTTTTTTTTTTTGGCTGCCACAACACTAAAAAGGGAAAGATGATGAAAAGGAGATTTTTTTTGTAGAACCCTAGCTGACATCTTCAAACAAAATTGAAATATCCAAAACAAATAAATTTCAATTTTATTCTTATTTAAATAAAGCATTTTTAATAAGAGTTGGCTAAGACATTGATTTTATTTAAAAATAGAATAAAATTTTAATTTTATTATGATTTAAATAAAAATTTTAAATTTGTATTATATTTTCTCTCATAATTAATTATTTTAAATAAAACCAATATTGAAAAGATGTAATTTCATTAAATGTTTTATATTGAGAAACACTAATTTTGGAGACCTAAGATTAGTTTACTTAAATTTCTTGATAATAAATCTTTTTAACTACTGTATAGAACCTTCAATCCTTTCAAATCAATATATTTTTTTCACTTTCAATTTTTTGTTCAGCTTTCCTCTATTCACATGCATTTTTATTATTAAACAGATTTTTCGATCTTCCGTTTTCACTTTTTCATGTCATTTTCAATCGTTGGTTTATTAGCGGCTTTTTCCCCAAAATAAATAAATAAATTGAATAAAAAATAAAAATAGATAGAATAATAATGAGAGAATGACAGTTAAATTTTTTAAAAAAATAAGTTAAAAATATTGATTTAGATAATTATAAATACTAGAATTTCAATTGCAAACAAATGGTTAAATATCAAATGTAACTCTTATATTATAATATAAATTTTTGTTTGTAACCGTTTGAATTGATAATTATAATTCATTTCTAAAAAATTTTGTTGGGGGCTTAATTGTTATTATTTAATTTTTTAGAACCTAACTGTCATTCTCACTAA